AAACGAAACCCCACCTTTGGGACTCCACCAAAAAAAAGAAAGAAAAGAAAAAGAAAAAAAAAAGAAAAGAAAAGGAAAAAAAAAGATAAGAAAGGACTTTGTGTACTTTTATAGAACTCTTGTTAAAATGTAGATTCAGGATCAATAGGTCCAGGATGGCACTTAAAATAAAAAAAAAAGATAAGAAAGGACTGGGGATGTAGCTCAGTGGTAGAGCACTGAGTACTTCTGGGTTCAATCCCCTGCACCACAAACACTAACAATAACAGCCAAAACACTGCTCAGGTTTGGAAACAGAGCCCCTCAGGGGAAAGAGGGGACACCACTGCAGAGGACACTGACTCCCATGTGGATGTTTCCCAGGCCCTGGAAGCTAAGGGCCACCCTTGCACATTTGCTAAGGGGCAACTTTAACTGCAGTGGGAGGAAATGAACTGGGGGCACATAGAGGGACAGCTATACAGGGAGAGCTGCCTGGCAGGAGGGAAGGAGCACGCTCTGGGAGAGCCTCAAGGAGGGCTCAGGTTCTCTCAAGCAGGAAGAAAGCTCACCCCAGTCACAGGTGACCAATGTGGATACCTTCCCCTATTGAGTGGGAGGTCACATGTGTGTACTCAACTTTAAATTTTGCAATAGGCTGGAAGTTTGCAAAAATAGGTTCAGCTATTCTACTGACTCCCAGTGGAGTCTTGAAATACTGTGTGTTTTTGTCAAGCTCATTGAGAGTACTTAGAAAATATGAGCATTTGACTACATTACAGGCTGAATTGGTCCCTCCAAAACTTACATTGAAATCCCAATGCCCAGGACCTCATAATTGCCTGCATTTGGAGATAGAGCTTTTAACAGATGATTAAGCCAGGCATGGAGGCGCCCACCTGCATTTCAGCAATTCAGGAGGCTGAGGCAGGAGAATCAGTTTAAGGCCAGCCTGGACAACTTAGTTGAGAACCTAAGCAATTTAGCAAGACCCTGTCTCAAAATTAAAAAAAAAAAAAAAAAAAGGCCAGGTGTAGTTATGCATACCTGTAGTCCTAGTGGCTTGGGAAGCTGAGGCAGGAAGATTGCAAGTTCAAAGCCAGCCTCAGCACTGGCAAGGTGCTAAGAAACTCAGTGAGATCCTGTCTCTAAATAAAATAAGGGCTGGGGATGTGGCTCAGTTGTTAAGTGCTCTTGGGTTCAATCCCTGGTACCAAGAATATTTAAAAATAAAATAAAAAGGGCTGGGGCTGTGGCTCAGAGGTAAAGCACCTTGGGTTCAGTCCCCAGTACCAAAATAAATAGATGCATAATGTAAAATGAGGCCACTATGATGAATGTCCTTATGAGAAAACAGGACCAGGACTCAGAGACACACAAGGAGGCCCATGGGAGGACAGGGAGAAGGTGGCTGTCTATAACCCAAGGAGAGAGGCCTCGCAGTGACCAGCACTGCCCACACCTTTGACCCCAGGCTCCAGCCTACAGACCATGACAGAATAAATTTTTGTTCGAGCCACCTAGTCGTGTCCCAGGGGATGCCTGAGGACAGCAATCAGAGTCTGATAGCGGATAGAGGGATGGAGAGAGGAGAGGAGTGGGTAAGAGCAATGGGATGAGTGCTCCCTGCAGAATATGTGCCTTCGGAGAGGCTCACAGTGCACGCCTTCAACTCTGCTGTATGCTTGACATTTTTCCATAGCAGAATGTCAGGAGGCCTTCTTTTTTATTTTTTATTTTATTTATTTTTTTGGATCGACCCCAGGGCCTTGCACATGCTAGGCAAGCACTCTACCACTGAGCCACAACCCCAGCCCCTGGAGGCCTTCTTTTTTAAAAAATATTTTTTTAGTTGTTGATAGACCTTTATTTATTTGTGGTGCTAAGAATCAAACCCAGTGCCTCACACATGCCATGCAAGTGCACTACTGCTGAGCCCCAGCCCAGACCCTCAGGAGGCTTCTTGCTGGCATGCAAGAAGGCCTCCTGAGGGCCCCAGCTCCAGGCTGTGCTTTCCCTCTCCTGAAAGTGCTGGGAAGCAGGTGCCTGGCAGAGGGAAAGGATGTGCCAAGGCAGAGTGAGAACAAGCACCTGCTTGCTCTCTCTGCCAGCCCAGGTAAGCAGGTAAGCCAGGCACTCCCGCTGCCTTTATGGAGGGGGTGGGGGGAGCCTGACATTACAAGATGGAAGGCAGTTGGGAGGGGGCTGGTTGGATCCTGCAGCCTTGGCAGGAGGAGCCATGCTCAGCTCATCCCTGCTGCGCTGCCTGCTCTCCAGCCCTTCCTGACTAGCCTGTGTCTTCCCCTGACTCACTGGGGTCATCTGAGGCACAGAGACACCTGTGGCCACATGTTCTGTGAGGAGGTCCAGAGGACCTTGGTCCTTAGCCCCAGGGACCCTGTCTGAGGTCGTCCTGTACACAGGAACCAGGTGCTTCTGTGGGTGCCCACTCAAGTCTTCCAGAGCCTTGTTCAATGGCTGGTGGGCCCTTGGGGCTAGGGGACAGGGCAACACCTGAGGCCCTGATACCTATTGATTTGTCCTCCTCCCAGCTTCCCTTCTTTCCTTTTCTTTTACACATGGTAATTCTTCCCTTGCTAGCTTGTAATGGCCAACCTTTGGCTCCCTTGCCCACCTGGATGCACCCCCAGGTGAATGTTGAATCGTCAGATGAGGAGGTGACTTTCTCAAGCTATTGGAACCAGAGAAAGGCTCTGTCCCAAAAAAGCAGGAGCTCACATACTCCCCCAGAACAAGACTGCCTGTGTCTCAGAACATTCCTGATGCCCCAAGTTCAGGGACTTTTCATTGGAGTTTCAGCCTAGAAGGAGCTGTCAAAAAGGCTCAGGATGTCCTTCTCTCGTCCAGGGAGCTGTTGGCCAGGAAAGTGACATCTGAGCAGCTGACCCACTGCCCAAAGGAATCTTTTTCCTGCCTCTTGTCTATATGGAAGCATGAGGCTGTGCCCACCCAGAAAGGGGAACACAAAGACACTGGTCCTTGACTTCTGAAGTGGACAGTGGACTGGAGCCCAAGTCCCACCTAACAGGGAAGGGGTAGAGACAGGAATGGGGGTCTGTGTCCCAAGCCACCCAATAGATAGCACTGCCCCTTGCTGCGCAGTATTTCTTTCCTTGTTGGGCAGAGGAAGAAAGGAAACTTGCAGAAAGTAAAGGACTTACCCATGGCCCTGCAGCAGGTAGGAAGGCTGCCCTGCCTTCAGGGTTCTGCCCTGGATCCCCTTGGACATGAGGACCTGTAGTATTATTAAGTGTCCCAGGCTGACTGGAGTCAGGTGGGGTTGGTGACAACCGCAAAAACAGCTGCCTGGCAAGAAGCTTCTTGCTCATGATTTTTAGAGGAGCCTGTTGTGTGGGCATGGACATGTAGGGAAGCCCCAGGCCAGCTAGCAAAGAGAGGGGCAAGGGGAGGTATGGGTGAGAGTCTTGCTGTGGGTTCCCAGGTGAGGCAGGGCAGGGCAGGCCCACCACGGAGGCCAAGCAAGGGCATTTCAGGGCTCTGGGCTCTGGGTGGCACCCAGTGTCTGGGCTTTGGCCCTGGGATGATTTAGGGCAGGGGCCATGTCCTGGCTGCAGGAGCCTGATGAAAGAGTCCAGTGGGTATGGACTCAAATGGTTAGTCTGTACATCCAAGGCACCTTGCAGGCAAGTGGTCTGTTGTCTCTAGGACTTAGCTAGCCTGGGGGTGGTTCCTCCCTGAACCTAGGAGACCCCAACATGTCAACATGTAACAGGGCCCACTTTATGCTTTGAACCTAAGCATCGCAACTTTGAACCTAACCACTTCAACTTATTTTAAAATGCACATGTTTCTTTCTCTTCCTCTCTCCCTGCTCTTCCCTAATCTCTCCCCATCTCTAATCTCAGGGGAAATAGGATTACCTCTCTTCCCCATCCTAGGCAGAGCTTATCTGTTCCTGAGCACACACCCACCACAGGAAGGAAGTAATCCAGACTTTGGGGATGGCACCAGAAGATCTTTGGGGATGGCACCAGAAGATCTTAGAAAGGACTCTCTCCCAAGAGAACAAGTGAATCACAACTACAACAGAGAACAAGTGGATTGTAGCCTTTGAGTCACCTCTTTAAAAATCCCCTGCTCCTGCTGATGTGCAATATTGGCATCAGATCAATATTGGCATCAGATTCACCATTTCAGATCAGAGTCGTTTTATCTAGAAGTTCCAAAGTTTTGATTCTGAGGCAATGCTGCTTAACTTCTATAAGAACGTGTGCCTGTGAAATGATCACCCCCACCCCAGCCCCCTGCTCCTGCTGACAGGCAGAATCACAGCCTCTTGGACAGGAGTCCCCGTGTTTCTCCTTTGCTGACAACGCAATAAACTTTCTTCTTCCTTTTTCTCAATACTGTGTCCTCATTATTGGTTGATATCAGGGACAAGGACCGAGCTTTCACAAACACACACATGTGACTTTTAGAAAGTAAAGAGCATGATGACTCCCGAGAGCCATCAGAAGCAGGCAGTTCTGGGGCTCAGGTGCTCCCTCCAGGTCTAACTCTGCTGGCAGGCCCTGAACCAAGAACCTCTGGTTTGAGTTTCATGTTCAGCTTAGAAGAAAGCTGTTCCCTTGTTCCATTCTGACACCCCTGTTCCTTTCCAGCTCTGTGAATCCCCTTAGAGGAAGGTCTGTGCCTGAGCCTCAGCCTGGCCCACCTTGCTTCTGCTGTGTCCATCCAGGTTGGTGAAGAAGAAACCCAGCCCTACCCTGCACTCAGAGTGTGATGATCACTGAGCCTTCTGGCTTCCCCTTCTGTGAAGTGCCGATGAATGTCCTTCCTGTAGTACTGAGAAGAGGCTCAGGAGCACAGAGAAACTGCTCAGGTTGGGTATCCACGTAGGGGCCTGGGGGTGTTGGCACCTTTGTCTCCGCATGCTGGGTTCAGGTCTGTCAGTCAGTCCTAAGTGTTTATAAAGCTTCTCCTGCAAAGACATTCAGAGAAAGGGCAGAAAAGGGGTCAGAGGGTGAGCAGTGGCATGCCCAGCTCCATCCCTCCTCTCCAGCTACTCTGCCTTCAGGCCCCTGTCCTGGTTCCCCTAGCTTTTGGCAAGTCTTCCTCCAGCTTCCTTCTGCACTGTAGCAGGCAGTGTTATGCTTTCAAGAGCTCCCTCCCTCACCCTGACTGGGGAGCATCCCACTGACCTCATCTCCCAGGACTCTGCATTCTCCTCTGTGGAGCATCCAGGGCTATCAAGCATTTGTCAGTGATTGGGTGCTGATGCTTTCAATTACTTCCACAAACCCTCCTCTCTCCAGGAGGTGCAGCTTACTATGCACCCTTGATTCGGTTAGAGCTAGTGATTTCAGAGTGCAGGTGTGGGGGAAGTGAGGGATGGCAGGTCAGGGAGGTACTACAGATCACTCACTCTGGGGATGGCCAGCTGCTGTGTTGGGAAGATATTCAAGCAGCCATTCAGAGGGCCCCACCTTAAGAAATGGAGGTCTCCCACCAGTAGCCACGTTCATGGGATTAAAAGGGGACTCTGCAGTTCCATACACATCCTCGGGGGGCCTGGCTAACAAATTGACCAAAGTCTCCAGAGACCCTGCTACAGTTTGGATCTGGAATGTCTTCCACAAGCCCATGTGCTGAAGGTTTGGTCACTGGCTATGACACCACCAGAGGTGGTAGGGAATTCAGGAGGTGGGGTTCAGTGGGAGGAGACTAGATCATGGGGGAATATCCTTGAAGGGGAAATTGGGACCCACCTCTTCTTCTCATTCTTTGCTCCCTGGCTGCTGTGAGTGAGCAGCTCTGTGCTACTACATGCTCCCTACCATGAGGTTCTGTCTTGATACAGGACCAACAGCAACAGAGCCAACCAACCCTGGACTAAAACCTCTGAAACTGTGAGTCAAAATAAACCTTTTCCTCCTTTTTTAAAAAAATATAGTTAATGGACCTTTTATTTTATATATTTATTTATATGTGGTGCTGAGGATCAAACCCAGGGCCTCATACATACCAGGCAAGTGCTCTACTACTGAGTCACTACTCCAGCCCCTTTCCTCCTTTTAAATTGATTTATCTTAGGTATTTGCCATAGTGACAGAAAGCAGATTGACACAGACCCTAAGTCAGAACCACTCAGTCAAGCACCATCCAGGCCTCTGACTCCAGTAATTGTGTGCGATGATCCATGCTGATGCTGTAAGATGCTCAGTTTTGGAGTAACTTGTTTTGCAGCAACAGATAACTAATTTGCCAACAGATAACCAAGTTGGTGAGCCTAGCCTTGAATTTACAATTATCTTGCCTCAGCTTCCTGAGTAGCTGGGATTATAGGCAGGTGCCACTGTACCTGGCCTGCATACGGCTTTAAAACATGTAAAACAATGGACAGATGGCCCTTCATGTCCATGAGTCTTTGGGTTCAACCAACTTCAGATGGAAAATATTTGGGAAAAAATTGCTTTGTATTGAATACTTACCAGCTTTTTTTTGGTCACTATTCCCTAAACAAAGTAATATAACAACTATTTACATATTATTTACATTGTAGTAGGTATTGCAAACAATCTAGAGATGGTTTGAATTACAGGGCTGGGGTTTAGTGGAAGTAGGTACTTAGAATACATGAGGCTCTGGGTTCACTGGCAGCTTCAGGAGGGAAAAGTTATCCATTGGAAATCTGAAATATTCACTTGTATTTGATTTTGTTAGTTTTGCAATTTTGTTTTTACTATTAGTCCTTAATGTCACTCACACTGCATTTTAAAACAAAGTAAGTTTGAGATTCCATTTACCCTTTCCTTTCCTTTCTTTCATTTTCTTTTTCTTTCTTCTTCTTTTCTAATACCAGGGATTGAACCCAGGGGCACTTAACCACTGAAACACATCCCTAGACCTTTTTACTTTTTGTTTAGAGACAGGGTCTCACTAAGTTGCTCAAGGCCTCCCTAAGCTGCTGGGGCTGGTTTTGAACTTGCGGTCCTGCTGCCTTGCCTCCTAATTGCTGGGATTACATGCATTTGCCACTGGCCTGTGCCTGGTGTACCCTTTCCTTTTCCACTTGGAAATCCCAACACTATTGAAGAACCTATCTTTTCCTGATTTTCGGGCCCTACATTTCCTGTATACTTAGGCTTGTTTCAGGATTCTTAGATTTATTCCAATTGTTTCTCCACAAATACCATGTTGCCTTTGAGGTAGCTTTTAAATACAGAAGGGGAATTCTGCTTGAGCTTTTTACCCCCTCCCCACCTGCCTTCCTTCTTTCTGGATTTTTTTCCCCCACTATTCTTGAGGATTATCTCTTTCAGATGACTTTAGGATCAGCTTATCAAGTTTTTTGAAAAGTCCTGTTGACATTTCTATTGGGATCAAACTTACTGGTGAAGAATATACGTTTTTACAAAGTTACTTCTATCTGGTAATGGATGTTTTTCTGATTCAGTTTGAGCTCCGGTCATGCCCTGCAATCAAGGTTTGGAGTTTTCAAAAACGTGATCTCACACATTTATTTTCAGGCTTCCTCTAAGAGATCCCTGGGTGTTCAGAAGACTGTGAGCAGCATCTGCAGACGTTTGAGGGCTGCGCAGGTAGTAGGGTGTCTCTTGCTCAGATTCCACTTTGGGCGGGACCACCGAAAGGAGACTGTCACTGTCAAAAATTGGGGCGTCCTAGAGGGAACAGATAACAAGGGGCTGATGGTGCAGAGCGCAAGGCAAGGCGGCCTGGCAGAGTCTTCCCCTAGACCGGGGCAGCCTGGCCTCAGAAGGCGGCTCCTCCCGCCCCACCGTCGCCGGTGCGGTCCGGACCTCCGGCCAGTGCTCCAGTCCCGGCCCGGCCCCGCCAACAGTTCCTTGTCCTGTCTCAGGCCACGATTACCGTTCCGACCCCGCCCACCGCCCAAGTCCCGCCCACCGCCCTAAGTCCCGCCCACTCTCCCCAAGTCCCGCCCACTCTCCCCAAGTCCCGCCCACTCTCCCCAAGTCCCGCCCACCCTCCCCAAGTCCCGCCCACCCTCCCCCAAGTCCCGCTCACAGCCCCTGGTCCAGTCCGAGGTCGCGCTCGCCGCCAGGCCCCGCCCATGAATTCCGCCCACAGCCCTGGTCCTGTCCGAAGTCGGGCTCACCGCCCCGGCCCCGCCCACCACTCCCGCAAAGCCTCCGCCACAGACTCTAGTCCTTTCCGAAGTCCAGCTAACTGCCCGAGCCCCACTCACCGCCCCGGCCCCGCCCACCCACA